GGGCCCCGTCCCCAACCAATTTCGTTCCAAACCGGCGGTTGGCCCCGCCCCCCTACCCAAATTCCCCCCGGAACCCGAGGGGGAGCTAATTCCCCCCTTGGGCACCTTCAAGGGGCGCGCCCCCCCCCCCCCCCCCCTCCCCTAGCCCTTCCCTGCCTGTGACCCGCCTCTGACGCCCGTGACCCGCTCTGACCCCTCCAGGCGCGCCCGGCGCCGAAGCGCGTCCTCGAGTCGGCCGGCGACCTCGGCGTGCCGCGCGTGCCCCGCGCGGCGCTGACGGCGATCGCCGAGTTTCGGCTCTCGAGGGGCGACGCCGCGGCAGCACCGCGCGGGCCTCACCTCCTCCGGCCTCGGAGGGTACCCTCTTCACCGCCTCCTCCTCCTCCTCCTCCTCGGCGCGGCGCCCCTTCAAAGCCCGCGCCGTCCCGCGCGCGAGCTCGCGCCCCGCCTCGCCTAAGCTCACGCGCAGCGCACGGGCGAGGGCCGCAGGTCCGCACCTCTGCCTCGCACACGCCCGCCTCTGCAGGCGCACTGCCCCTCTCACTCGACCGCGCCTTCTGCTGTAGCCACGCGCGTACCCGCCACTGCGCGCGAGAAGGAGGAGCACTTCGCGCCCTTCAAGGCGCAGCCGATGCCCATCTTCTCGCCGGCGGCCGCCGAGCCGCCCCTCGTGCGCAGCGCGACCAAGCCGGCACCCTTCTCGCTCGAGAGCGAGGCGCGCTCGGCGCGCGTCGCCGAGGAGCGCGAGCTCGAGCTCCTGCGGCGGGCAGAGGAGGAGCGGGCGGCGCGCGAGTTCAAGGCGCGACCAACGCCCCCCTCCTCCTTCCCTCCCCCTCGCTCACGCGGCCAGCCTCCCTTCCCACAGCCTCTCCGCCGACACCCCCCCCCCCCAACACCCACCAGGCGCGCAAGATGCCCGTGGGCGATGGCTGGGCGCCGCAGCCTTCGCAGGCGGTGACGACGCCGCGGCCCTTTCAGCTCGGCTCGGTGGAGCGGGCGGCGGTGCACACGGCCGCACTCTCCGAGGCGCACGCGACACGCGAGCAAGGAGCAGCGAGGGAGGGCTGCCCTGAGCCGTCTCAGAACTCTCCCCCCACAGGAGTACGCCAGGCGCGAGGAGGAGGAGCGGCGAGCGAGGGACTTCCGCGCCCGGCCGCGTCCAAAGTCGCTCGGCGCGCCCAGCTTCACGGTGAGCGGCTCAACCGCCGCCCCTCACCGAGCCACCCCCCACCCCACGCG